GCTAATCTAAGCAATGGGCCTGCTTTCTTTCCCTCTCTCTGCTGCCCAAGACTTCTCTGGTGTGTGGCGCTCAAAAAGCAAGGTATTAAAGAAGACACAGAATTTTGATGGTCATCTGTCTGCTCTTCAGTGTGATATCATACCCCACTCCACGTGTTCAACTGCAGCAGTTTGTACGTTGCTTCATAGGTGACATACGGGTTGAGAATACGTAGCTGGGAGACATTCCCATTCCATTCCCAAGGGGGCTGGCGCCAAAACCCCACCTTTGTCTGTAGGAAAAGGCAGAGAGAAAGAACGATAGTCAAGGCAGGCCCACGTACACAAGACAGTGGCATGATAAAGATCCCGATTTAGCTGCAATCTATTGCTCTGGCTGGGTGCTCAGAAGGACTGACAGTCTGGAGGAGCAAAGAAACCCGAGGTCTTTTCCACCCATGCCAATGCACCTATCTGCAATGTGGCTGAGACTGGGATATTTCTAATTAGTGAAAAAGAAGGTCTCGGGTCCATTGCGCAGCTCATTAAATATTTGAAGGATACATGACTATTAGAGCTATGGAAAATGTCATTCCAGACAACTTGGTTTCAACCTTCCCTCATTAAAGACATCTCACCTTATTCCTTGTTTTCAGCAATACCTCCCTCAGCCAGAGGAAATCCAGTGGCTTGAATGGGACAAACACCAGCAGTGTCTCCTCGTCATTGTTTTCCAGAGGATTGGACAGAGCTGATTCAGGGAAGAAGAGACGGATGCTGGTTCTCTCACCCACATCTTTCTTGTGCTCTTTTACTGGAGCATCATTTAATCTGAGAATCAGAGCCAGAACAGCAGGATTTGTCCCTGGAGCAGTTTCAATATCACCCATTCCCAACTATGGAAGCAGCTGTGTGCTGTCAAATGCAAGAAGGTGCATGTAGGACTCACATGAGGGAACGGATACACATGGTCCAACCTTACAACCTGGTTCCGCAGAACTGGGTACCTCACATAGATGTAGGAATGCTTCCTCCCCTTAGTAAAAAGGCAGGCAGTGGTGGCAGAAGATTGCCATTTTTCAGATAGGGAAGTGAGGCATACAGAAATTAAATGACTTTCCCAAGTCAGAGTAAAAATGCACATAAGGTTTAAATGCAATCAAAGATTTGGCATTGTCAAGGCCAAAACCAGTCCTGTAAAAGTGGATTACCTGCTAATCCACTGAGTGGCTGCTGAAGTTGGCCTTCCAGCCCCCAGGGACCACATCTGTGAATGAATATGCTATAAATTCAACGCCTGAAGTGTTTGGCAACTGCAGGAAAGTCATTAGATTACCTGAGCTGATGGTTCCTAGATGTTATGTTTGCCAGGCAAGATAGATACATGCATACTATCATTCCTCAGTCTCTTTCTAAATATTAGAGTCTAGTAAGAATGCAGTACCTTATGATAACATGGTGAGAGTCAATCATTTTCCCAAAGCGTTGGCCAAGGACGGAGTAACCGTTGCCGACCACAATACACCTTTGGCACCATAAGCTGGTAAAGAATAGATTCCAAGAGATGAAGTCCTTCCCTGACAAGTTTCTCCATCAGGTTAGATGAGCATTCCCGAGGGCTTGTTTGATGCCCTCAAGTAACTCCCTAGATGGCATCAGAGCAGAGAAGACTAGCACGATTCTGGCTGTGTCCCAGTCGCACAGAGACGGGGCTTATCTTAGTGAGCATAAGGCAATGGAGTGTCATACTAGTAAAACTAAGTGGGACCTCTAGTCAGCTGCAGGACAGGCAGGACACAAGATACAGAGGAAATGGAAAGAGGATCAAGTCAAGTAGGAATGCCCAGTAGACCAGCAGTTCTTAACTTGGGGAGTGAACCTCTGCTTGAGGCACATGGTATACTGAGTAGAGAGAGAACAAGAGGCCACAGAAAAATTCACCTTATGTCTGCTTACAACAGGAAAAAAGAAGGTTTCCAAGCTAAAAAGTTTTCCAATGGCTGCAGCAGATAGCATATTTCACTTCCTGCTCTCCCTGAATGTGGGCAGGCAGAACACAGGGATGCATATAACTTTTCAGGGCCCGGAGTGCCACGCTTGGGATGGAGTTAGAGCAAGAGAAAACGCACTGGGACAGGCACAAAGGGAGGAAGTGTGGATCTAGCAGCTTAAGCTCGTCAGTATGAGAGCTGCTTGAAAGAGCACATTTAAAAGGGAGAGAAAGAGAAACCCACTGAGAAAGATGAAGAGTGTCAGAAGGAGTGAGAGACAGAAAGGTCTGAGAAATTGAGGAACAACAGAGAGAACTTTGAAAAGCTTCAGAAACCAGGGCTCTCAGACCATCTACCACTTCCCTAGCACTCCTGCTCCCCCAGCACCCATCCCTGGTCCAGCCCCCTTACCTCTCAAAGGGTTTGGGCAACTCCTGCTGTGGAAGGAGCTGCAACGTGGCAAAAGCAGAGAGAACTGAAAGATAAGAATAAGTTGAAGAGTTATCTTCAAGGAATAAATGTAGCCCCACTCAGCCCAACAGGTGGGTTCTTCTCTTTCTTAGGCTCTGAAGAGCCAGGTTTCACCCCTCCATAAAGTGCCAGGACACTTTACACGTGAGAGCCTGTACAAACACTGTTCTTGTCACAGTCATCCACCCAACACTGCCAACAACGAGGCCTTTTTCCACATTAAGGGCATGTTCTGCATGCTCTTTGGGGCAGGGATACTATTTAGGCTAGCTCTTCTCCATTCACTTTGGATGCTGCACAAATAATAAGGTCCCTAAGAGGAATGATTAGGGAACGAAAGGCCCTGATATTGCCCTGTAGAAGAAGCACTGCAAATCTGACCAATCTGCGCACTGAGGTGAATCTTCAGTTAAAGAAGTTGGCTACCACTGTGCTTTGTCAGAAATAACCACATGCAGTAGTTCCCCAACTGAATTCACCCAGTCTATTTCAACGCAAAGTCAAACAGGTTACCTCAGACCAGCACTATGAGCAATTGAAGTTGGTCTGCGCTACCTCACATTCAAAACAGCTAGCAGTACCAGCCCGGTCAGTTATTCCCTCTCAGTTGATGTTTGTTAACTTCTGCAATGGGTCTTGCTCCACCTATAAGAGCATTTCTGTCAACCTCCTCCTTTCCATCCCTCTTGGCACAGCTAGAAGTTGGAGTTAAAGCACTACCCCCTTCCTCCATTATGACCACCATGGACTATGACCTTTCCTCAGAGGCATCCCATCCATTCAGCCTAGCCCCCCTCAATGAACCCTGGCGTTCAGATGTATTTCCATCTCCTTTGCAGCACTCAGGGAAGCTGCATCAGAGTCTTCAGCTGCACAGTGTCCATTCGTGACATTTACAACACTGAGGGCAGGGTGCTGCAATACCTGACCTCTGTAGCCCAAAAGGAAGTTTATGGAACCACAGAACTTTTTCAAGCTCGCTTCTAAAAGGCCTGTCCATAAGCGAGTATAAGGATTTGCTGGTCAGGAAAGGCTTCCAGTGATATTCAAACCTGCCAAGAGAGATTCAGAGCACCAGCAGTTCAGGGAAGAGTAGAGCAGTTACAGCAGTATCAAACACAGGGACTAAGACATCTAAAGCGGGCTGAATGGTGAAGTACTTCGTAAAGCTACTGAGCTATCCTAAAATACTTTTTAGAAATGACCCACATCTTCTAAATATAATTCTTACTGCTCACTGTTTCTAACCCATCTTCTGAGCAGCAGTGATGGCATACAGTTCCAGTTATGTTTCCACTTTCATTTATTCATTCGGTTCATGACAAAGCCCATGCCTTGCTGTGCGCTGACCAGTTCAACAGTGCTTCTCTTCCTCTCTGATTGTCCTTCAGAGGACATTTTACACAGGCATCTGTATTGCGCCATTCTGCAGACATGCTGACTCACTTGTAATGGAGCTAAGATGCCATTGTGCAACAGTTAGCTCAACTTAGCTGTTTCCTTTCCTGCATACCTGCACATCAACTCCAGAGTGCCGGTCTCCACCCATCAGTAGCCACAGAGCACTAAGACATGTCTCACCAAAATTCCCCAGACAAAAAACATAACTGACAAACCTTCCAAGAAAAGGCTTTCTCCACACAAAGCGTCTTCTGCAAGCACCAAGGCGCTTCCTGTGAAAGAAACAGAGTTCATTTTCAACCATCTCTTCTTCAGAAGGTCTTTGAAAGCAGTCCAGGATGTCAGGATGCAGGAGGGATTTGAGCTCCTGACCGCGTCTGTCCATGAACAGGCCCCCTCCAAAGAACATGTAAAGAGCTCCATATCTGCTCAGCAGAATCATAAAGCAATTTGGGTAGAAAGACATCTCTGGAGAGCCAATGTCAAAGTTAGGTCAAGCTGTTCAGGGCCTTGACGAGTCAAATTTTAGAAAATCAGTGGCCTCAGGTGAACTATGTTCATGCCTCCAGAAAGGGACATGAAATGAAGAGCACTGTGAGGTGTCCACAAGACACACTGACACTGGTCACCAGCACCTGGGAATCTCTACTATAGTCTAGATAAGGTATCTCCAGTCTCATCACTATTGTTTCATCCCGCAATTTCTGTCTGCACTGCCCTCAAGTTAGTGCTAGGCAGAACACAGTCCTCCAAGCTTCCAAGGATTCATGCCATATGGGGGGAGCTGTTTCTCTTCTAGATCACCCTGGAAGAAGGGTTGCCTCTTCTTTCCACAATGATGAATTGCTCCTCCCCCACATGTCCCCCCACTTGCCCACACCACAGTAGCATAGAGGTCAGAAAAGCGAAGAAGAAAAGATAACTTACTCAGCCTGGCTTTCACGTGACTTCATCACAGAGTAGTATAGGCTCTGCACATACAGACCTGCTGAAGGCAATAAAGAGGCTGAAACAGGCCACACAGCTGCACGGCAGCATCAGTACAGCTAGGACTGCCCCACTGCACAGCCCATAGGATCTCTCCCCACAGATAGCACCACTGGAGCCTCTGCAGCCATCTGACCTGAAGACCAGCAGCAGATCCTGTCCCAGAGTATGGGAGCCTCCAAGTGGCTATATTTGAATTACCCCCTTGCTAGCTAGAATTAAATGAGGCCTTCTGGTAATGAACCCCAGTAAATACACCATCCTGTGTCCCAGAAAGTAAGGACAGCTTGCAAGCTCTAAGCCTCGCAGCACTCCAGCGATCATTCATGTCAATCTGTAAAAAGACACAGCGAGAGCGCAGAGAAGAGAAGAGATTGACTGTAGTGCTCCCTGAGGCAGACGAGCCCTTGGCTTCTTGGTACACTCCCTCTCTGGCCAGCCTTGGCCCTGAAGCCTGGCTCCTCCTCCCCGGTGCCTGCAGCCACCCTGGCCATGCCCGCTACTGTGATGAGCTGCAGAGTTTTTCCTCGACAGATCAGGCTTCCTCACTTGCTGTTCTCTCTCCAGAGCTGTTAGCTGGCTGCTCCTCGGGATGTCACAGCGGATGGGGAACTGCGAGAACCTTCCAGTAGCCCCTGTTGCATGAAGTGATCACTTATTCCACAAACAGGCAGCAAGATGCAGCAATAACTGACATGGTGCTTGGGTACAAAACTCAGAAGCCTGAGAACAGCACAGGCTCAACGCAGTAAGAAGAAAGGTACATGCAAGAGAAATCCTCCATGCCTGACCAGGGCTGCTGCCTGGCCTGAAATCAAGAAGAGGTTCATGCCAGACATAGGATTATCCAAAAGCTCTTCAATAATGTGGACATTAGCTTGTCTTAGTTGCTTTTCACCTTGAGTAAGGTGCTGTACCGATTCAGAGGACCAGTTCAGATTTCCCTGAGTGCACCATGCCACATACAGATTAATTGGGACTGTGGCTGCAAAGGGGAAAGGCTCCTCTATCATTGGCACCTGTCTATCGTTTGCAGAGTTTACTACTGGTGCAGAAAGGGGTCAAGCCGAAGGAAAAGGGTATCAGTGCTGGGCCAGACCCTGACCAGAGAGAAGGCATTCAGGGAATGGAAATTATAACCCTGAAAAGATACAGGGAGGCCCAGGCAAGCTCCCCTCCTCAGTCACAAAAATGAAGTACAACAATCTACCTCTTTTTGAGGGAAGAAACATGAGAAAGCGGAGCAAGGATGGAGAAAGGCTGCAGGAGTAACTGAAGGAGCAGAGCTCACTATGGCCATTCTTTCGGTACCTCAGCTCTGCCACTGAGGCTGGTGTTAGTGATAGTCTCTTACCACAGCCCCGCTAGCAACAGCCCAGTTCCACAAAGACAAAGAAATTTGTTCATGGCCACAGGTCTACATACTGGATACAGTGGACAACATGAGGCACATGAGGCACAACAGGTAGGTAAAAATGCCCAATCAGGCCTGCTAAATGACTTCTGGGAGCTTCTCTTACAGCATTTCAGCAAAGTGACAGATGCTGTCTCCATGTCAGGCTGACTAGGCAGGAAGAGAGTCTCTACAGTCCACTGTCAACATGTCCAAAGCAATCACTAATTTTACGTGCCCAAGGCCTCATTCCCAGAAGCATAGAACAGGAGAGATTTAATCTGAGGTCCACAAGGAGCTCTGTCAGCAGGGTATTGCCCTAATCTGCTTAGGTCATGGACCTAGCTGGGAAACACAGAGAGAAGAACTGCTCAGGATATCTGAGCACGTGCATATGATCAAAAACTCAGGGTATCTAGGGTAGAACATGACTGCAAGGCTTCCTGCAGGTCATGAAATATGAGGGAATTTTGCAGCCCTAAAGAAGAGGTTTGACTTGAGGGAAAGGGCAGGATTTCCTCTGTGACCCATGGGTAGCTTTCATTTACAAAAGGCTTAGCTCTCTGTCACCTTAGCCAGCTGGCCACTAACTGTCCCTAGCTTTACAGAGCTGTCTGTGTGCTCATGCCAAGTGGAGGACAGGAGGATATGGATTTTCCAATGTTAGTTTTGCTTTTTCTTTGGAGCTTTTAAACATTAGTAAAGAGATCGTTCTGATTGGAGACAAAGACTTTTAATTTGACTTTTCTCAGCGCTTCCCATATTGTACCACAAAATGGTCGTTACATTACTGTGCACCATGATGGCTCTTTCTTTTTCATGAAAATGACAATGGTTGCATCTTGGTCATTAAGCAGCAGTGATTTTTTCTTTGACACACAATCAGCCTTTCTAATGATGGCATGAAACTAGAATTGGTTTTCCTTCTGGAGGGAGATCACAGGCAGTTACATACACTCATACGGGCATTGTATCAGTGGGTCTCTCCTGGACCTCCTACACACACTGCAGAGGCTTCCATCAGCCAGTTACTGCTGGGTTGCTACACACAGCATAAGTAAACACCCACCTTTGGGCCTTAATCCTGCAAAGAGCTCAGCGGCATTTATCAGGGGGTGACTGCTAGACCTCCCACACGCACAGAGGTATTTAATTTGTGTATCACATACAAACACAGAAGGAGGTTAACCCTATTCTAGCCTCCCATTGCCTTGTGCACATATACTATTGTAAATGCAGGTCTTGAAGCGGTGTTTTCAAGTATTAACACTTTTGAAAGAAGTTATTCTGCAAATATTTCCTTATTTGCCCTTGCTGCAGGGGCAGCAATTGTAGGGGGATGTAGGGGAGAATTCAGTGAATCACCACTTGATTGTTTCACAATTGTGTAAAACAATAAAGGGAATTTTACACTTTGGAAAGAAGTCATCTTTTAGATGCTTTTCTTCTCTCCATGCCCCCAAAGACATGCAAGATGTCTTAATTTTCTAAAAATACACCCTAAACAGGCACAGGTGAAGCCTCTCTGGAGAAGTTCAGTTTTATTAATGACAGATGCAAGAGCAATGCCTGTGCTAGGAGTGGATCCACAGGAGAATAAAATGACTCCACACAAGGAAAGCTGCCTGTGGTGGGACCATTTGCAGGACAGGGCTCAGCATTTGGAAAACACAACCAGTGCCACTGAGACCTGGGCCTCTAGTCCACTTCCTGGTCCTCCCTGGAAACGAAGATGACAGCAGCCAGCCCCTCATGCAATGGCAAAAGAGGAGCCAGCCTGCTGCTGTTCTTGCATTGCTGAGCCCAGCTCACGCTCACACCAGGCTCGCTAGCATAAACCAAGAGAAGCAGGAGGGAAACAGCCCCTTCTCAACCACCTTTTCTTGTCGAGAAAACATAAAAGTCCACAAATGCCCCACATCTCAGTCTTTAGGAACACTTAGGGCTGCGCATGTCTGATTTATGGAAACACATCTCTTCCCTCCCCTCTTCCGTCACCTTCCATTTTGGGGGAGGGGGGGGTCTCCAGTGAAGACAGCAGGGCCTGGAGGGGCCTCTCCCTCTGTACAGCCCCTAGCATAGCAAGGTCCTAGAGCATGGGGGAATACAACAGCAGGTACAGGCTGGGAGACAGTAGGGCTCAGCACAGATTGAAATTTTCTTACCCACAAACAACAAGATCATCAGGTTTTTCCAGTGAAAAATAGCCAAGAGTTTCTCCACTATAGATCTGGCATTCATACTGTCTTCATGCACATCCTGCAAAAAAAGCAGAGACAATGCATCAATCAAAACAGGAGTGATAAGGAGTTGTGCCACAAGGCCTTTGCCCAGAGCTTTCTCAAAGACAGATAGGCTGACTGGCTGGCCCACAAGCCCAGACTTCCAGATGCCATGCTTCAGTCCACATAGCCCTGATACCTACCACACTTCCTGCCAACCTACTGAGAACCCCACGCAAAGAGCACAGCCGTGTTGAGTCAAGTCCTGCACTCATCATTTTGCCAGGTGCTCCTGCCAGTCAAGGCAGCAGATAAACTGGAACACTCCTCATGAGACAGACATCCAGGTCATCTTCTGCAGGTCACTGTAGGAAAGCCCCCCATGCTCCAAGCCCAGAAGTAAGCTCTCAACCAACCACAGTGATCACAATCAGAGGAGCACTAACCACAACTGCACACTCCCCCCAGCACTGACAAGTGTCTAGCAGTGGGCTCACTCCCACCTGCCTACACAGGATGCTTCAGACACAGCTAACATATCCACTAAGCACCAGAGACATCTAACTTCTTTCCCAGGGACATTACCTTCCCAAGGCCTTACAGTTTGTTCCTCTTACAACAGAAAAGAGAGTCCACAAAGCACTGGTTTGCCTGCAAAGAAATAAAGTCCTGTGATCAATCCTCACAAGCCAGGGAGTTTGTAGTGTTTAGGTGCCTGAATTTGACTGACAGCTTTAATTATATAGGGACAGTACCACAGCTCACATAGACAATTGCCGGCTCAGGATGGTGAAAAACAGGAATATTATCCTCCTCTCTTGAAGGGCTGGTGCAGAAAGTAAGAGCTCAGCTTACCCATCTGATGGCAATCATCTAATTATCCTCTATGAGCAGGGGATACAAATCCCTGCTCAGCTGGGGTAAGTGCTCTGTGGTGCTTTCAGTCCACCCCCTTCCTTCTTCCCCCTATGCTCTGGCCTGAAACTTTACCTTTGCAAGGCTGATTAATTCATTCATACAGCTATTCTTGCTCACTGCCATGCAGCGGAAGCAAGGTTGCCCCCTGAAACCCAAGGCTGGTGTCTGCTGCTCACCTGGGCTGTGCCATGGGACTTGGATGACCAGCAAGCTAAGGGCAGCACCTGCAGTATGTTAGGGCTGGCATTAAAAGGGAGGTCCTGATGAGCCTGATGTGTTTTGGGAAAGGAAAGGGAAGGGGTTTTTCTTTGTGGGTTTCAGGGGGACGGGATGGGGACTATTTTCCAGGAAGATCTTATGACGGGGGTGTACGGAGGGTCTCGCTACAGGCCAGCTTTGGCCATGGAGCCATGAGTGGGTTGAGTGTGCGTGCACGTGCGTGTGCACCCTTCTCAGGCTGAAGAGTGGGTTTCTTTGTTTAGAAATACAAGGAAGGGAAGGGCCTCTTGCCCTGCAGGCAAACCTTGCAGACTTGCACTGGGCTTTCAATTAAAAACGGGGTCTCTCTTTTTCCTGCTTTGTCAAACTTTGCAGATCAAACTACGTGCAATGCTGTCAGTCTCCAGTCATACCTAGGGAGTAAATCCTCAGGACTGAGCAGCAATCCATGCACTCGCAACTTCCCAGCCCTCTCATTTGTCCCTAGAGTTAATGCCAGCCCACGCTTCTAGGCACTTCTTGCTTTCTTCTGACCAGGAAATTTTTGCCAGGCTCTTCTCAGGACACACTAAAGCCAGGGGAGAGCAATCAGGTACAAAGAGTTTCAGGAGGGTTGATAAAGGCACCTTGTTCTCTGCCTCTGCTGCCTGTGATTCTGATCAGTCCTTGGGGAACAGCTCTGGGGTGACCTGCTCCTATTCCCTGCTTTGCTAGGTGGGAGGAAAAATCCCCCTGTTGGTGCTGGCAGCTGTGTGGGGACTGCCCGGCTCACGGAGCAGGCCCTGGTTGGGACTAGTGAAAGATGTGAGAAGGAGAGGGGCACGCGCTCACGTGAGCGGTGCACAGCGTTGCATGCAACTGTGACCACCGGGGGTGGTCCTTCCCTCCCAAGAGTCTCCTTCTAGATGTCATCGCCGCTAGCAGAGACACTGCAGGCATTGCTCTTCCCTCTGGCATGATCTGGACCCACTGATTTCCAGAGCTCGCCTCCTCAGGCACTGCTCGGTCCAGCCCTCTTCCCTATTGCTATCAGTAAAAGAGAGGGGGGAGAGTCCAACAGCAAACTCCAGCCTCTGTCCTGCAGGTGGATGTGAGCAGATAGATCTCAGATCTGTAGGAGGCTGAGGACAGACATTTCAAGGAAGGTCTCTGGTTGCTCAGTGGAAATGCATCTGAGCTTCTTCTGGGTTTTCACCACACCTGATTCCTTGCATTCAGCAAAACAACCTCAACAGAACATGCACATACATGTGCTCATCCAGGCAGCGTGTCTCCTGCCTGCCAGAGGACTTCTCTCTGCCCTTTTCTACTTCTCTCAAGCCTTTCAGGTTTCTTTTTGCAAAAGCTTTTTCTTTTTCTGCGTGATACTTTTTCTTCCCTTTTCTTCTTAATTAAAGTATTTGTCTCCACAGCAGGAAACATAAGCTGTGCGGCAGACAATCTTGATATATATTTTAAAAGAGGAAAAATTATTTAGCAAAGCAATTATCTTCAGATACACACAGAAGCCATCACTAGCCCTGTCCCCAGAAACCAGCAAAATTGGGAACAAAAAGGATACAAGGGATGCCACTCATTTAGAAACTAGGAATAAGTGGTAATTATGTTTTTAATTCCATGCCTAGAAATGAAGGGCTAGATTTTTGGCAAAGAAAAAGCCATTTGTTTTTAACCCTAAAAGCAGGAGCTTTTCCCTAAAGAGCTCCAAGAACTGGGGAGTAGCTAAACTCTTTTGAAAATCTGCTGCTTAGTGTTATCACTGGAGAAAAGCTGGCTGCTAAGCAGTGGTGAATATCTACTGTTGTCAAAGTTTAATTGGGATCTGAGTGCTGCTGCAAATGTCAGCTGGATTGTGACTGCTGATTGTATCTTGGGTTTGGAAATCAGCCCCTAATGCTATGCTATATGCCTTCCTTGGCTGTGAAAGGAGAGGATCCCATTTATTTCCATGCCTTAGTTTCCCCACTTGCAAAGTGGAGATTATTACAATTCCCTTTCTCACAAATAGGCTACAAAAGTGAACTCATTGGCACAGAGCAGCTACTATGAGTCACTGCAGCAGGCCAAGAATAACATAAAAATACCTTAAAGACACGAGCCATTTTCTATTCTTCAGAGAGCGATTGATTAGTTGAGCTATACTGGGATTTTTGTCCATCAGAGACTGCAAACTTGGAAAAAAAACGGCCTAGAAAATGAGAGTGCATTCCCTCTGATTCTCTCTCTTTCTTCCCACACCACTCCTAATCTCTGCCTTCCCTTGCTTCCCCCACCAAAAAAATAAAGGAAAATCAACTCTAAATATTCTTTCTCTCACATCAGCCCAGTAGGAGAGGCAGAAATCAAATTATAACCACTAAAATAATCACCTGCACTCAGTGCCAGGAGGGTGGGTGGAGAACAGAATATTTTGCTTTAAGTTTCAAAAAAAAAAAAATCCATCTTTATTAAAATAAACAAGAGTAAAAGAAGATAGAGAAAGAAAATCAATCAACTGGATTTAAAACAGGAAGATATCAAGCAAAGAGTGTTCCATCCGGAGAAATGGATGAGAGCTGCAAAAACCAAAACCCCTCAGTTCCTCTCCTCTCCTGGGAAAGTTTTGTTTTTTTTTTTAACCCCCTCTCTTAATTCTGTGCATTTTCTTCTGGATATATTTCTTACCACTTACAGAAAATTCCTAAAGAGAACTTTTTCCTATGGGGATGACAGAAGGAGGAAAAGCAGATCCACCCACCTTGTGCCCACTAGATAATTCAAGGGGATTGCACTCCGCCTGATTCCTACAGGATGTGGCAATATTTTGGGCAGAACTTGTTGGTTTTATCCTTCTTTAGTTCAGTAGGAATCTCTACAAATATTAGATAAATACTAGGATTCTCAAAAAGTAATATTTCTGAGGAGACTTTCTCTCCTGCATGGATTAGTCCAGAAAAAATACATATATATGTCCTGTATGTTGCAGTCTTTCTGTTTGTCTCTATGGCTCTCCTTGGTTTTCAGCCAGAGGATCAGTAGCTTCAGGAACAAGCAGACTAACAGATTCATTCGCTCTCTCCCAACCCAGTTGCTGCCAGCAGAATATTATCATGCAAGACCTGCACTAGGGCTTCCTTCCGACTGGTGTGTATTTGAAGACTGTCTCCCTGCCTGCAGGAGCTCAGGAGGCAAAGCCAAACAAAGTGACAGCAGTAGGGTCTGAGCAAGCCTAGGGAAGAGGGCAGCTTCCCTAAGTGGCCCTTGGTTGATGAATTTGGTGCCTACAGGCACTGCTGCTGAAACTAGCCCGAGCACTGCGTTGCTGCCTGGCTAAGCGCACCCAGACCCTTTGCAGGTCTGCCTGGGCCCGTGCAGAGATAGGTCTGAGGCATGCCAAGACCAGTGAACCCCGCATACAGCTGTGAGGAGCCACATCGCAAAGCATCTACTGTGCATTTTGGAAGAAATCAGCTCAGGGAGTCTCCAGGCGGACCCGAGTCCCCGCAGTGCCAGTTCCGAACACACACATGGGCGCTCGTTGTGGCACCGCATGCACTCATGCTTCCTCCGTCCCCAAGGAGTGAGGGCCAGCAGCTTATGCTCTAGGCTGTGCCCTCAGCAGGGGCAGCAAACTGCTCGTGCATCGCGGCCACTCGCCCACCTCCCTTCCACACTATGTCCCTGGAAAGCCACTATGCCTGCAACAGCTTCGCCTCCATGGAGGGGTTAAAAATCCAATTGAGCTGCAGAGGAGGCTTAGCCGGTTTTGCGCTCCTGCAGTGCCATCGTGTGCTTTCAGTATGCACTGCAGAAACACTCCTGACTGCTAAAACTTGTAGGGGCCAGGGAGGCAGTAAGGAACTGGCGAGCTAAACACAGTGTCCCTGGGTCTCCTTGGACGCTGCATCGTCCAGCTCCTGGAACTGACTGTCTTGCTTGCCTGGGAGGTGGCCCAAGGGAGGAAGTCTTGCACCGGCCACGTTTGCATGCACACATGCACCGAGATGCTCTCTAGAGCACAGAAGTGACTGCTCCATGCTTTGCAGAAAGCTGGCTCAACAGCTATATTGTAACTCAGTCTGTGAGACCATGAGATGCCATGGGCAGAACAGCATTACTTCAGCTTGCTATGGCTTAAAGTGACCTTTTTTTAAAGGAAGATGTGTAATCACGGACCTAGAGGACCCACAGACGCATTCATGGGGGAGTCTGCAGGGAGCACCCCAGCAGGATGTGCACCCACCCTGAAACAAGAATGCTTCCCCTGCAGCCACCCCTCCACTACCTCGCTGCACACGTGCATCAGCTGGGCCAGCCTGCATCTGGCATACATTGACATGGGCTTTACTCTCCTACTGCCAGCGTTGCATTATCTTTAAGTGGCTGTGTATAAAACATACAGATGATTGTGTGGGGTTGAGAAGGTGCAAGACAGGCAGGGGACACTCCCTTTCTAAAGAGGCCTCTGAACCCCCGCGTGGCTATGCCTACAAAGTCAGGGTGCACTGGGAAGCCAGGAGTGACAGCCAGAGACAAAAATGTTTCAGCAGGCTCAGTACCATTCAACATACAGGACTGAAATCAGCCCCATGTCTCACAGGGCTATCAAAGGCTAGTGAGATTTCAGAGGGGCTAGCTGTGGCTTCCAGGCAGGATCAGCTCAAAAGCAATCCATCTCTGACCACAAAGCCAGCTGGGTGCTAGCTCAGCTATCCCTCTCATCCCCTCTCACACAAAGGGTTTTTCTTGACAGCTACAACTAGAAGAAGCCGCGTTTCCACATACATCTGGACCTACAGGCAGGTTGGGGAGGTGCTGCTGCCACTGAAATAGCTCGACTCACTCAAGCAAACAGGGGACGCAAACAACCTAGGCCCCCACTAAAGGAGCCATGGAGTGGAAAATGGAGATTTTGCCCTGCACTGCCCTCTATTTTTCCTGAAAAATTCCTCATCATGGAAATTTCCCAGGAGGCCCTTCTCTCTGCTTAATAAGCCCTGCTCCAGCCGTGGCAGGTCCTCAGCTCCTGTCAGCGGGCGCTGTGCCACGTTGTTAAGCAAGTCCATGGGAGAGAGCATTCATTAACAACACCAGCAAACAGTGTTGCGAAGCCTTGACAGCACCTATGGTGACAGCTGCAAAGTGCCCCAATAAGTGACGGTGGCAGCAACTGGCATGCGTGGCATGGTCTCCAGGCCACCCAAGGGGAGCGCAGAGCTGAAATGGGGACATCTAGCAGCAGGGCTCCAAACGGAGCACTCTCCTGTACTTTGCGCAGCGTGGGGATGGCAGGGTGCTCGAGGACGCAGGCATTGCTGTGTTTCCTTTGCTTGCTGATGTCTGGCACCCCAATGGGAAAAGGCACCCCAGGGTGCTGCGGCTTTTTCGCTCTGGAGCCAGGCTGATTTCCTGTGTCCTCACAGGTCCTGCCTTGCCAAAGTGCTAACGCTGCACGTCACCCCTTCCCATTCCCCTAGGGGACTCCACGGCACGACTCCAAATAAAAACCTCCTTCAGTCCTCGTCTTTTTGCCCATTGCTCTGATTTCAGCGTTCTGAGCCCAAAGCTTCAGCAATTCGTCCTGGCCCTCTGCAGCTCCAGCCTCTCTTCTCCCTGAGCCTTACAAGCAAGATAGGTGAGCAGACCCTGGAGTCTAACCAACCCTGACCTATTCTGCAAGGTTGAAAATGAGCTATCGAGGCAGGCCCACAACCACGCAGGAGCCACACGCACAGTTCGGCCCAGGAAGAGCCGATGGCTCTCATGTTTCCGGGACAGGCACACGCTTTCCACCTCTGCCCTGCCGGCTGTGGCAGCACAGGGCGCTCCTGGCTTCACAGGCCCTTAGTTCTGGCTTTTGCAGTCTCCACAGTGCAGGTGAAAAATAAAACATCAGAGAGGCAGAAAGTGGGGTGGGAGAAGGGAGCCAGGTCAGGTCTGGGAGCAGAAGGGTGTGCGATGCTGGCGCACCACTGGTGAGCTGTGCCAGGGCGCATGGAGCTGCAGAGCCCGCCGGGGCTTGCGCAGAGGTCTACCGATCGTTAAATCAGCACCCGCTATAGCTGCTCCCTGAAACAGCTTTTCCATAGGGGATCCAGAGGTGGGCTGCAGCCTCCTCTTCATCGCAGCCCTGATGCCGAGGACACCTGATGCTTGACTGCTTGCAGGAAACCTGGCAAAGGTCACAGCTCCCTCCTTTTTCCTCCTGCTCCAGTTTTAAGGGCTTTCCTCCGCTGGAAGTGGTGGAAATGATCTTCCTGCTAAAACAGAGACCTGCCCCGTCCACTCTGACCACGAGTGGCAGGGCAGGGGGCCTGTTCTATCCCCCTTCT